AAATACTGTTTTTAGGTGCATAAAATAACATACATGGGATTACAAAAGAAACCAATTATATGGAAATAAAGATGTAGGTTTTCCCCATCAAAATTCAAGGACCTCATGAAATCTATCCATTGACTTCCTGGTAGACTAAGACTCCCTACACTAAATGATTTCTAAGGTCTCTGTGATCCCTTGATATCTTACAACAAATAGATGATGAATTTGAAGAATGCCAAACATTATCTGAATGTTCACTATTAATTGACCCTTGAAGTATTTTCAAAGGTGGAGGAAGATGGGTAATTCATGAGTTCATAGATTTAGAGCTGGGAGAGATATTGAAGGTCATGTAGCCCAACTCCTACATTTTAAAATGAGGAAAAATGAAGTCCAACCAAAGTTTAACAAATGACCTGCCTAAAGTCTCAAAGATAGTCAATAGTACAGCTTAAGAGTTGAATTCACATCCTCTGACTCTTAATCCAGCATTCTTCCCACTATACCTCCTCTCATTTATTGGCCTGTATCATTTCTCTCTCTGTTTAAGTCATTTATTTCCTGTTTTGTATTTCATATCTTTATAGATTCTCATCTATTTAAGTTTTCAAGTTGGCGTGAAATTGTACATAGTCATTTCTGATCATTTTCTTAGTTTTGTATTTATTGTGACATTTCCTTATTAATTTCTAATTTTGGTCATTTTAGTTTTCTCTTTCTCTTCCTTAATCAAACTTAATCAATACTTGCTGGTATTTTTAACACCTTTTCCCCTTATGTCCTTTGTTCTTTTATAATCCGTGTTATTAATGTATTGCTTTGTTCCTGATCGCTCTAAATGAAGACTCAACTCCTTGGGTTTCTCTTATTCTTTCTTGTCAATACTGGTATTCAAGAACTACAAATTTAAATCTGAGTGCTGCTTAGGATACATACAATGGCATTTTTCATATTTTCAAACAGCATAACATTTATGTTGTTTTCTTGGAGGTAGTCTTTTTTTATCATTTCTTCTACAACCCCAGTAATAATTTAATAATTTTCATATAGACCTGCATTTATTTTGCCTTATTCTTTACATCTAGCATCATGCTTTTGTCTAAAAGTTTCTGGCTTTCTAAATTTAGCTAGGATTTTTCTAGATAGTCAGTCAGTAAGCATTTGTTAGACACCTCCTTTGTGCCAGGCACCTTGCTAAGTGCTAGGGATGTAAAAAAAGGCAAAAGATAGTCCCTGCCCTCAAGGAGCTCACAATCTAATGGGGGAGACAAGAAGCAAACTATTATGTGCAGGTTATATAAAATATAAATTGGAAATAATAAAGAGAGGAAAGGACTAGCATTAAGAGAGATTGGAAAAGGCTTCCTATAAAAGGTGAGATTTTAGCTTGACATTGAAGGAAGCCAGGGATGACAGGAGGTGAAAAAGAGGAGGGAGGACATTACATGCATAGGAGACAGCCAGAGAAAATGCCAGGAACTTCTCTATGACTGAGAATGTTTGACAATTAATTCAGCAATTAAATTAAATCAAGTGCCTACTCTGCAGAGCACTATGTTAGATGCTAAGAGAGAGAAACAGTTTAGATAGGGATGTATAAATACATACATTATGGTCACTTTTTCCAAATATTGCATGTATATTTGGGAAAATATACATTTCTACATTTACCATTAAATTTTCTCTGCATTAAACCCATTTTGTTCAATACTATTCAAATCTAGAAATTCTTACTTATCTTGTGTTAAATTCTTAGTATGGTATTGAATGTCTTACTATTATTATTTCTATTTTTCTTGCAATACTGTGAACTTTTTCCCTTTATAAATTTAATTGCTACATTATTGGTACATATGTATATTCAAAATTGATAAACTAATTTTCAGTCATGCCTTTAGCAAATTACAATTTTCTTGTTTACCTCTTATAATACTCTTTGGTTTGAATTAGACTTTGTCTAATATCGTCACTGAAACTACAGATTTCAGCTAATCCTAGCATAATAAATTTTAGTCTAACTTTTGTTTAAATCTATGCCTATATGTTAACATTAAATGCTTTCTGTGAATAACATTTATTTTTAATTCAGTCCATAATCTTTTTAAACATTTTTATAGATGGGGGAGGGTCAGTCAATTTATATTTAATCAGAATCATCTGTATCACATAGTAACAACAATAATAATAGCTAGCATTTAAATAGAGCTCTAAGGTTTAAAGGTACTTTGCATGTGTTATTTCTTTTTATCCTCACAACAATCCTGTGAAGTAGGTACTATTATTTTTATTAATTAACATTCACTTTTTTATTTTGCCTTCCAAACTCCCTCCCTCCTTCCAGCCTCTCCCCAACCCATTAGGTCGGAGCTATAGTTATCCCCATTTTTGCTGTTGAAGAAACTGAGGCACAGAGAAGTTATCCTTAATTTATCCATAGTCCCTCAACTATTCGAATGCCTAAGGCAGAATCTGAACTCAGTTCTTCCTAACTCCAAGTCCAGCATTCTAGCCACTATACCACCTAGCAACAAACATCCTCTATAGAACTTCCTACATTCTTTACCCAGTTGGTGTTAATATACTCTGTGTTCCAAATATTTGAAGCAAAAAGAATCAAAAATGGGGTAAGATACTAATGAAGAAACTAGAACCAGGTGGGTCTGGCCTAGAAGCATTCTGAGAAGAATCCTCAATTTAGAGCTGCAAGTTGCATCTAGGTCAACCTAACATTTTACAAAGGAGGAAGCTGAGATTCAGAAAGTGACATGATTTTCCCAAGCTTACAAAGCACTAAATAAATAGCAGAGGCAGAACTGAAACCCGAGTCTCTAGGCACCAAATACAAGGCATCTTTCTACTATCTAGGAGAAGAAGAGAATCTTGAATTGTGATCTTCTCTCAAAATTACTTTGTGGAGAATATTAAAATATATGTATTGTTATTGTTGTTATCACTATTAAGCTCAGGCCACCACATGCCTAGATGAGGTTAGAAATTTTTAAAGGATCATCTCAAATTATAATCATTTTTTTAAGAAAATAGTAGATTTCTTGAGAAACTTTAGACCAATGAACCAGGAATTTTGACTCCTGTGAGAAGTACATTATGGGAAAGACTTAATGTCCATAGCAGCGGAGTTTAGAGGTCCTGAATGGTATGCTGCAATTCTATAAAAAAACCAATCTTTATATGCCTCCAAAATATTCCTTTACTCTTCTGACATGGCACCTCTAAATGATGGAGGAGTCAGCATCAGAGAAACCTTGGAAGACTTGTATAAACTGATGCAAAGTGAAATGAGCAAAACTGGGATGATAATTTACATTATGACATTACACCTCTATTCCACAGGAGAACAATTTACATAATGATATTATACCTCTATTCCACAGCTACTGAAGGACTATCCGAATGACTACTTTTAGAAATTCTTTCCCAAGTTTCAGAACTTGGCACAGAGTTTTTTACTACTTTTGCTTTCAGATCAGAGTGAAATTTGTAGCTCTTTTTGGAGCAATCAGAATCCATTGTAATGGTTTAAGTGACCATGGGAACAAAAACTTTTTAGGAATTCTTTGAAAAATAGAAATTAAGTTTTATTATGAGTCTCTATCAGAGGATATCACAGCATAGGAGTTAATATCTAAACTGTATAGCCAAAATTTTCATGTTCCATGTTCTGAGAATCTTTCCATAATTCCCAGCTTGCTTGACCAAGATTAATGACAGCTATTTTTAGTCAGTTTTGAGATACAAGAATTTTACTCTCTGATCTCCAATGTATTTGCTTAGGGAAAAAAATTAAGAGACCAGGATTAGATGGTTTCACTATCCTTTCTAACCAGGGATATGCTGGTAAATGTTTAATGCAGCTCTCCAGGGAAAAATAATATACAGGACACACTTTTTTAAAATTTTTATATATTTTTCCCAATTCGATGTAAAAACAATTCTTAACATTCATTTTTTAAATTTTGAGTTCCAGATTCTTTCCCTCACCCTCAGCTCCCCCCTCCTTCAGAAAGCAAGCAATTTGATATAGATTATACATGTTCAGTCATGCAAAACATATTTCCATATTAGCCATGTTGCAAAAGAAAACACAGACAAAAAAAAAGAAAAAGAAAATGAAAAATAGTATGCTTTGATCAGCATTCAGACTCCATCAGTTCTTTCTCTGAAGGTGGATAGCATTTTTCATCATAAGTCCTTCAAAATTGTCTTGGAGCATTGTATTGCTGAGAATAGCTAAGTCATTCACAGCTGATCACAGTATACAATATTGCTATTGCTGTGTATGATGTTCTCCTGGTTCTGTTCAATTCACTTTGCATCATTTCATGTAAGTCTTTTCACGTTTTTCTGAGAGCATCCTGCTCATCATTTCTTATAATACAGTAGCGTTCCTTCACAATCATATACCACAATTTGTTCAGTTATTGCCCTCATAAGCATCCCCTCAATTTCTAAATCTTTGCCACCACACAAAAAAAGCTGCTATAAATGTTTTGGTCCATATACATCCTTTTCCTTTTCTAAAAAATCTCTTTCTGATACAGACCAGTAGTAGTATTTCTAGGTCAAAGGGAACGCACAGTTTTGTAGCCCTTTGGGCATAGTTCCAAAAAGTTTTCCAGAATGGTTGGATCAGTTCACAACTCCACCAATAGTACATTAGCAGGACACACTTTTAAATCTCATCTGTATCATTAACATTTTCTCCCATTGTTTTTTTGAAGTCTATACAATAAACAAAATAACAAATCAAGTCCTGATTTGTCCTATTTGCCAATTTCTGAGGTGTGAAATGGTCACTCTGAAAATTAGCAGTCAGCTTTTAGGAGCCAGTTTAAAGGGGCTTGAAGTTCTATATGAAGGTCCATGAAGTTCTAAAATGATGCCAACTGACTCCATATTTCTTTCCAACTTTATGACAAGATGTTCTCTTCCTCACTTGCCATCTTACAAGGTTAATTTTTTTTTTTTTTTTTTGCTTTTGTGTTCCCTTCCTATAGCATACTGCGGCTGGGGATGAGGGTGGCGGACAGTCACTGGTATCTCCTGGCAGCTGTCTAGAAGACTTCAGGGCCACACCTTTCATCGAATGCAACGGAGGCCGAGGAACCTGCCACTACTTTGCCAACAAATACAGTTTTTGGCTCACCACCATTCCAGAGCAGAACTTCCAGGCCTCCCCCTCTGCAGATACCCTCAAGGCAGGGCTCATCCGAACTCACATCAGTCGTTGCCAGGTCTGCATGAAGAACCTATAACCCTTTCCCAGGAGGCCTAGTGGAGAAAGAGAGCAACATACTTCTTTCTTGCCTTGACATTGCTAAAGAGAGTCAATTTTGGTGCTTAACTTATTACCTCAGATGCTGAACAGATTGATTTTTTTTTAAACTAAAGGAATTTGGCACCAGCACTTACACCAGTCATTTCTCTAATATTAAATAGACTCTTGCCTGTCTAATTTTATCCCCATTTCAAAATAAACCCTCATCTTTTTTCTAACACTCTGACCCTTCAAACCAAGTAACCACTAATAGATGAACTACTACCAAACATGTCACACTGGGTAAGCAGATAACACTATGTTGAGCTAATTCAATAATGTGTTTTATATACTTATTATGTACACACATCATACTTTCCATTGCAGCTGAATATTAATAAAGTTGTGCTCAATTAATGGAATCATGCAAGGTGGAGCAAGAAAATTAAAATACATGGTCTGAATTGGTAGAAACTCCCAGGAAGATATAGTCTATCCTCCCACATTACTACAACCTGGCCGTTGTAGAGTAGGAATGTCAGTGTCTTTGACCTCTGAGCTTACTTACCTTTTGGCCTTTTTGGACTGAAAAATCACACTGTGCAGTAATTTCTAGCCAACATGATAGCTTTATAAAAATAATTCTCCTTATACTCAAATTCTAAATACATTCTTTTCACACAGAAAATATTTAAGTTGCCTGTATGTACCTGCACCAGGGTGAACAGTGCTTTTTTAAAAGTTTTTGCCTATTTTCATGTAACTTGTCAATAGTTCTTCTTGCCACATAAACATAAAATTGGGCAATAGAAAATCATAAGGCTACAAAATTAAAAGAGACATCTTAACTACCATTTAGTCTAACTCACGTATTTTACACATATGAAAACTGAGGCCTAGAGAGGGAACCTGACTTTTTCCAAGGCCACACAACAGAGCCAAGATTGGAATCCAGAACTCTGACTAATGTTTCAGTAGTCTTTCCCTCCATGCTGTCTCCACTTTGAGACATGTTTATTACCAACAATATCTTTTGGAAGGATGAACTTCTAAAATTTTAATTTGTGTCTTCCACTACCACAAATTATCATGAAAATGTTGTGTTTCATTCCTTTTAGTAATTTGTGCTTTTTATGATTGTTCTACCTTGGCTGTAACTATAACAAAATAAAAGTGTTCCTGATTTATTTTCTAAATCCTAAATTGTTGACTGTGTTTGATTTTCTGGTATTTGTAGATCAAAAAATTTACATAAATACATGCAGCATAGTACATTTGATATTTAAAGAGATTGGTGAGCCTATAAACAAGCTCCTATACTTACTAAGAAAACTCCCTCTCTCTCTCTCTCTCTCTAATGCTTTGATGCCTAATATACGACCAAGCTTAGACTATATTCTATATCTCTGGGCCACAGTTTTCTTTTAAAACTACTTATCAATTCTACTATAGTGCCATTCACAAAAATGTATGTGTATGTGTGTGTGTGTATGTGTGTGTGTGCATGTGTGTATGTGTGAGAGAGAGATTGAAAGAGAAAAACTGAGAGACATAGACTGAGATGCAGAAAGATTGAGAGACTGAAACACAGATTGAGAAAGAGAAAGATTGACAGAGAAAACTTAAGACAGAATGAAAGACAAAAAAATGAGAGAGAGAGATTAAGAGACAAAAAATGAGAGGCATAGAGAGATTGAGAAAGATATAGAGATTGAGAGAGAGAGAACGCTGAGACAGACAAACAGAGAGATAGGGACAAAGAAAAGGTGGAAGGGACTTGTTTGTTAAAATTTGTTGCTTGTTAGAATTTGTGAGAGATGTTCTAACCATTACCAATGTGAATTTTTTGGGAAAAAAGCATAATATACTGCCAAACTATTAGCACAAGGGTGGGGAACCTGTGCCCATGAAACCACATGTGGCCTTCTAGGTTCTTGGGTGCAACCTTCTGACTGAGTCCAAGTTTTACAGAAGAAATCCTTTTGTTAAGGGGAATTTGTTCTGTGAAGTTTGGATTCAGTCAAAAGGCCGCATGTGAGGACCTAGAGGGCCAAATGTGGCCTCGGAGTTACAGCTTCCCCACCCCCGTTTTAGCACCAGAATTCTTTCCTATGCATAGCTCTGGCCTATAGCAATGGAAAGTCATTAATTAATCCTTTTACTATACACATGAAATTAATGTAAACGTAAAATCAGACAACACTAATATATTCATTGGAGGGAATAGAGTCTTAAAAAGTATAAACAGAGTAGTTGTTTCTGTGAAGAACACCAAGATAAGTTTTTTATTTTTCCTTTTCTTAAGTTTTAGTGATGCATTACTGCTGTTTTTAAATATTGCTTCTTTCATCATACCTCCTACCAACCCAAAGAGGGAAAAAAAAGAGCCTTCCCTTGTAATAAATTTTCATTGAAATACTCACCCAGGCACACAGCCCTAATGATAGCTTCTTTTGGTCCTGATGCTTTGAAATAATTTCAAAGAACATTATCTTCAGCCTCTAAAAGAAAAATTTGTGTTAAATCTCTTCAAAGAAAAAAATCTATTTGGCAAAATAAATAAGGGAATTGACTGAGCTTCTTTGCCATTGTATTTTGAGTTGATGGAGCAACTCTCCAAGGGATCCCATCAAAAACAATATTTGCTCCTAATTTCCCCTAAAGTAGGCACAAAAAAAATTTGGTCAAACATTTTTGCCTCTCTGATTCTTAGATTTTTGATGTCTGTTGTGGTCCAGCTCTTAGCACATTTTCTGGCTCACAGTAGGTGCTTAATAAATGCTTGCTAACTTTTTTTTTGTGAAGTAATTGGGGTTAAATGACTTGCCCAGAATCACACAGCTAGTGTTATGTGTCTGAGTCAAATTTGAACTCAGGTCCTCCTAACTCCAAGGCCAGAGCTCTCTCCACTGTGCTACCTAGCTGCCTCATGCTTGTTAATTTGACTTGGTTCATAGTTAATGGGAATAGTGCTCCATTCAAAAAGCAGTTTCAGCCTTAAAGCTTGAGTACATAAGGTCAGAAGCACAAGATCAAGATTATGCTTGAACTTCTAATTACACGAAAGAGTTGGACTACAAAATGTATACTTAAAACGATAAAATCCCACTGACCCAAAGTTGTAAATTTATGCAACTTGTTTATGCAATTTAAAATAACTGTTAGATCAGAGGTTCTTAACTTTTTTGTGTCTGTTTGATGACGCCTATGAACCCCTTATCAGATTAATGTTTTTAAATGCATAAAAAGCATAGAGTTACAAAGGAAATTATATTGAAATAGAGTAAGTAGATGGCATAGTGGGTAAAGTACCCAGCCTGCAGTCAGGAAGACTCATCTTCTTGAATTCAAATCTGGCCTCAGACACTTACTAGTTGTGTGACCTTGGGAAAGTCACTTCACCCTGTTTGCCTCAGTTTCATCATCTGTAAAATGAGCTGGAAAAGGAAATGGCAAACCACTCCATCATCTCTGTCAAGAAAAACCCAAATGGGATCATGAAGAGTCAGGTATGACTGAACAACAACACAGTTGTAAAAATATTTTTAGAAAGAAAACAAGCTCATAAGCCCCAGATGAAGAACCCTTGGGTTAGAGGACTAAATGTCCCATTAAAAACTTTGTAAGCTCTGAATCTGGCCATCCAAAAGACAGGTCTTTCTGGTCCCCTATGTTTTTGAGTATGTGAAGTTTTGCTAGAATAGGATCTCGACACCCAAGGAAAGCCTTGAGAATGATAGTTTACCCTGACTGAAAGCTAAGTAATTTGTGTCATGTTTACTATGGAATAGATTCACAAAGTTTGGAATCACCCGTCTCCCAAATCTGTTTCACAAAACTGGCAATAAAGTCCACTTACTGATCCTGAACCAGGATGCAGGAGCAGCAAATGTGCTAGGTGAGAGGTATAGCAGGTATACAAAAGAAAGTACTATTGAAATACATGCACAAGACAAGCAGGACAACTTTGAAAATTGAATCTTAAATTTATTGTAATTGAAAAGCATGCTGTAGATAGTATGGAAGCCAGATGGTGCAAGGGGATAGAATGCCAGACCTGAAGTCAGGAAGACTCATCTTCTTGAATTCAAATCTGGCCTCAGAAACTTAAAATGAGTCTTTCTGACTTCAGACCCAGTACTCTATCCCCTGCACCACCTAGCTACCCAGCCTGGCACAGAGTAGGCACTTTAAAAATGCTTATTGACTTGACCTAATAAACCAATTGTTCATTATTTGCCATTCTGAAGATCTAAAACAGGTTGGGGCAAGAAAAAAAAAGAAGAGTGTTGATTTCTTGGGAGTGATGAAATGAATTTATTTTAGCAGGGGAAAGATCACAAAAATGTTAGAAGGCATGAGAAGGTAAATTTCTCAGAATTATAGATATAATTGGAAGGGGTCATCTAGTTGAATATCCTCATTTTACAGGGAGAAAAAGGGCCTAGAGTCGGAAGTGACAGAGCTGACATGTGAACCCAGCTCCTCTGATTCCAAATTCAGCGTCTTCCACTGGTTCTATGCTTCCTGAATTCAAGGGATGCAAAGCCTTCATCCCAGGCAAATGGTCTGCTGGGAATACTTAGGGAAACAGTCATTTGTCTCTCTGCAGACAACTATACTGCAGGAAAGAGAAGTTCTTAGCTTGGTTCCAGTGGGAAAGAAGCAGGAAAACTGCCAAGCTAAAAATATCCAGTATAAACAATCAATTAGGAGCAAAGCTTATAGAGAGTGTGATGTTGAAGGAATAAAAGAGAGAGAAAAAAAATAGACTTATTCATGCTCTACACCTATGTGGCTCAAGCCAACACAAAGACATATGTTAAGAATCTGCTACATACATAATGCAAGGTGTTATGGTTGTGTTCTGCCTGTGTGTGGACAGAAAACTGGCCTTGGAGGCAAAATAAAACTGAATTCAAATCCTGTCTCAGATACATCTTCACTGTGTGACCCCTGAAAAGTCTTTTCATTTCTCGGTGCTCTAAACAACTCTCTAGATTACATAAATTGCAAATAAGTTGCTAATCTGTGTAGGAAATCTCTAGCCCAGGAATTTATTGGCACTGATAAAAATCACAGGTCTGGGCCAAAACAAGATGTGCATTCCCATTGGAGATGCAGAGACTACATTGAAACTTAGCACATGAAATTAAAATGGCCCATAAGTATTTGGAAAGTAGAAAAAGAATAAGAGAACATATGAATTAGCCAATCAGCAAGAATTTATTAAGCTCCTAGAACCACTGTCCTAGGCACTGGTGATACAAAAACATTAGATTGTGAGCTCCTTAAGGGCAGGGACCGTTTTTTGGCACATGTTGTTGTCGTTTCAGTTGTGTTCATGACTCCCTTTGAGAACTTTTTTTGGGTGAGACAGTTGGGGTTAAGTGACTTGCCCAGAGTCACACAGCTGGTGAGTGTTACATGCCTGAAGCTGGATTTGAACTCAGATTCTTCTGACTCTAGGGCCAGTGCTCTAACCACTGCACCACCTAGTTGCCCCCTCTTTAGGGATTTCTTGGCAAAGATACTGGAGTGGCTTGCCATTTCCTTCTCCAGCTCATTCTACAGATGAGGAAACTAAGACAAATATGGATATGTGACTTGTCCAAGGTCACATAGCTGGTAAGATTTGAAGTTAGGAGGATAAGTCTTCTTGATTCCAGGTCCAACACTCTATCCTGCTAACTCCTCCTTTTTTGGCACATAGTAGGAGCTTAATAAATGTTTGGTGAGTATTGACTGACTGACTGATCGAAATAGTTACTGCCTGCCCTCAAGGGCTCATGTCCTATCTGAAGACATAACCTAGAGTGAATGAAGATGGATACAGTACAAGTTATGCAGATTTTTAAAAATTATTCAAAGGAAAAGAAATGCTTTTAGGTTGACTAAAAGCTTGAATATAATAGTCAAGTTGTATATTTGCTTTTATCAAAGCCTTCGCAGGGAAGGGTTTTTTTCTTTCTTTTTTAGCTCCTGTCTCTTCAAAAAGTCGTCTTTCCTCTAAACCCAACCATTGATATTAAGCATTCTGCTCCCCTATCTCATTCTGTCAGGCTCACAAAAAGCCAGCCGGTGTTGGAGGGGATGGTGGTAAATAACTTCTCTAAATACAGAAAATAGACTTTACTGCCAAATGCAGGGAAACCCATTACAATCCTCTTGGGGACCTGAAGCAGTGATCTCTAATGGAGTAG